CCATTATCCGACCATAATTTGTGGAGTTATGCCCCTTTATGGACTTGCCGAAACAGTGTCCGCTCGATATCTCGAGTAATTATTAACGGATTAACTTCAAACTTCACAACAAGGTTAATTACCATGAAAGCTCAGACAAGTTCGATAACCGCCATTATCCGACCATAACTTGTGGAGTTATGCCCCTTTACTTGTCGAAACAGTGTCCGCTCGATATCTCAAGTAATTATTAACAGAACAACTTCAAACCTCACAACAAGGTTAATTACCATGAAACCTCGGACAAGTTTGATAAAGGCCATTACCCGACCATAATTTGTGGAGTTATGCCCCTTTATATTCTTTTCCAATTTCTGTGTGAACGAACTGCAGGCAGATGTGATTGAAACCTTCTACTCTGACCATAAGATTGTTTGGATTGCATTATAACATGTTAATACTCCAATAATATAAATGACTGTAATTAAAATGCAAGTTTTCTGTTAACTCATTTATGTACCAGTTATGTTGAACGAATTCTCCTAAACAACAATTATTCCTAAATATTTTTAATGAATTAACTTCAAAATTTATGACGAGGTTAATTTCCGTAGAAGCTTGGACAAGTTTGAAATCCATTATTATCCGACCATAATTATTGGAGTTATTCCCCTTGGTTTCATTAATGCGATGCATGCGTTCCATGATGTTGTATTGCACTCATTGATCTACCAGTTATGTTGAATGATTTCTCTTTTAATATCAATTACTCACAAATACTTCATATATTTTAATCATACAAACAACTGCTCATTCAATGTGTGACGGGCATATTATATACCGCTCGCAGTAACCTTGTTAATGATCTAACCGGCTTTATTTTTTTTTACAAATTTGAAATCGTTGAAAGTTTTATTAATTGAAACATTTTGTGGTTTCCGAAATCCGATCCCTACTAGTATCAACAATGGTGTGAAATTATAGAAAACCACCAAACAATGAAGTTTTTATACTCAAGTTTTGTCATTTTAGATACATTGTCTCTAAAATTTAACATTAGACCACTGTAATCCCTCTGAAGTTGGTATAACTCCTAATGATTTCATTTATCCAGTTTGACTCAGCTGGTCAGTGTTTCTACTTTGACGTGGAACAGGACATAGAGGTGACAGATCCTAAGAAGGCATTCATCAAGGTGTTTGATTACTACGAGACAGGTAAGATAATCAATCATTGATTACTACGAGTCAGGTAAGATAATTAATCACTGAAATACTACGAAACAGGACAGATAATCAATCAATGATTGTTAAGAGACAGTTAAGATAATCAATCGTTGTTTACGAGACAGGTAAGATAATCAATCGTTGATCACTACAAGACAGGTAAGATAATCAATCGTTGATTACTACGAGACGGGTAAGATAATCAATCGTTGATTACTATGGGACAGGTAAGATAATCAATCGTTGATTACTACGGGACAGGTAATATAATCAATCATTGATTACTACAGGACAGGTAATATAATCAATCGTTGATAACTACTGGACAGGTAGGATAATCAATCATTGATTACTACAAGTCGCTCTGCCCACTCACCTCTCTGGTACTGGATAGGAGAGTGACATTTCCTGCCAACTCCCTGATTGTATAATCAGCTCATAATTGATAGAATTTACAAAATACCATTAAAAACCATATCAGTACACACTGAATTCTGTGGTGGTAACCATCTGTTTACAGTGCTTCAATGACAAGGTGGTCTGCTGTAAAAGCTGTTTACAGTGCTTCAATGACAAGGTGGTCTGCTGTAAAAGTTGTTTACAGTGCTTCAATGACAAGGTGGTCTACTGTAAAAGCTGTTTACAGTGCTTCAATGACAAGGTGGTCTGCTGTAAAAGCTGTTTACAGTGCTTCAATGACAAGGTGGTCTGCTGTAAAAGCTGTTTACAGTGCTTCAATGACAAGGTGGTCTGCTGTAAAAGCTGTTTACAGTGCTTCAATGACAAGGTGGTCTGCTGTAAAAGCTGTTTACAGTGCTTCAATGACAAGGTGGTCTGCTGTAAAAGCTGTTTACAGTGCTTCAATGACAAGGTGGTCTGCTGTAAAAGCTGTTTACAGTGCTTCAATGACAAGGTGGTCTGCTGTAAAAGCTGTTTACAGTGCTTCAATGACAAGGTGGTCTGCTGTAAAAGCTGTTTACAGTGCTTCAATGACAAGGTGGTCTGCTGTAAAAGCTGTTTACAGTGCTTCAATGACAAGGTGGTCTGCTGTAAAAGCTGTTTACAGTGCTTCAATGACAAGGTGGTCTGCTGTAAAAGCTGTTTACAGTGCTTCAATGACAAGGTGGTCTGCTGTAATAGCTGTTTACAGTGCTTCAATAACAAGGTGGTCTGCTGTAAAAGCTGTGTACAGTGCTTCAATGACAAGGTGGTCTGCTGTAAAAGCTGTGTACAGTGCTTCAGTGACAAGGTGGTCTGCTGTAAAAGTTGTTTACAGTGCTTCAATGACAAGGTGGTCTGCTGTAAAAACCGTTCACAGTGCTTTAATGACGAGGTTGTCTACTGTAAAAGCTATTTACAGTGCTTCAATGACAAGGTTGTCTGCTGTAAAAGCTTAATTCTCACTACTGGCATTGTAAAGGAGTTTACCCTAGCACAATGTAGATTTGTTTTACAGACACCTATGATGACTTACAGGTAGTGATACAATATAAAAGTGAACATTCTGGTATAATCCTGAGGACTTTTGTATTTTGTAGACTTACAAGTAGTGATACAATACAAAACTGAACATTTTGGTATAATCCTCAGGACTTTTGTATTTTGTAGACTTACAGGTAGTGATACAATACAAAACTGAACATTCTGGTATAATCCTCAGGACTTTTGTATTTTGTAGACTTACAGGTAGTGATACAATACAAAACTGAACATTCAGGTATAATCCTCAGGACTTCTGTATTTTGTAAACTTACAGGAAGTGATCAGTACAAAACTGAACATTCTGGTATAATCCTCAGGACTTTGGTATTTTGTAGATTTACAGGTAGTGATACAATACAACTTGAGAACAACTTGTGGAACTAAACAGGAACTACCTGAAATCTCTGTGGATCAGTACCTACGTGGTGTCTTCTTCGCAAGTGTTGACGAGATTGTACAAGTCAGGATTCCTCCAGGCCTAGGTATGTATAAATTGTCACAACACTTGTTAACAGTGGTTTGGTATTAACCTATTTTGTAAGTAAGCTGTGTGTAGATCTCTATTATCGTGTAGTTATAGTGTATTTAAACATGTTATCTGTTGTACATTGCAGAGGGGGAACCTGCTGGACCAGTCATGGTAAGTCATCTCTTGGAATCGCTGTACGTCTGTAAGGTATAAAATCAGGATCTATACAAAATACACTGGATAGATGGGAATCTGTAAACTTCATAAACTCATTTACATTGTACATGCACTCATTCAAACATATTCAACTTTCTGTTTTGATATTGTGTCTTTCTTTTTAACATTAAGGTTTTTCATCTCAAAAAACTTAATGAGTTAATGCATATGTGGGGGTTCGATACTCTAATAGCTTCTCTTAGGTAGAACAAGAATTTGTTAACCAACATATTTAGGAATGTGATTTTGAGAGATATTTAATTTCTGTCTCGTTTTTCAGACTTGTCCCGCCTGCATAGATGCTACCATGAACAGAAAAAGTGCAGATTTCAAGAATCTAGTTTGTGGATCAGAAACAAGTAAGGTCACCTAAAATGTACATGCTGTATGTGGTGTCATTAATCAATCAGTCTATTTATGTTAAACACTTATGGATACTGTTACAAGGAACAATCTATTTATGTTAAACACTTATGGATACTGTTACAAGGAACAGTCTATTTATGTTACACACCTATGGATACTGTTAAAGGAACAGTCTATTTATGTTAAACACTTGTGGATACTGTTACAAGGAACAGTCTATTTATGTTACACACTTATGGATACTGTTACAAGGAACAGTCTATTTATGTTAAACACTTATGGATACTGT